AGCGTCAGCTGCTGGTTTGTGGTAGACTCCACAGGAGGATACTGAAACTGTTTTTAGCATTTGTTAGTTTTTGGTGTATGTAAATATTTGGAAATTGTTTTATGGACTGTAGATATTTATACTGACTGTCAGATGAAAGCTAGGCTTGGTGCTGCGTCTTTTTTAGAGGTCAGACAACTTGTAGAACAATCAGACAACAAAAAAAATGCAGTCATCTCAAGGTCGGGGCATTATCAGCACTTTAAACGTGTGACTTTGGGCTCTTAATAGCAATACAGAATCACAATGCAGTGCAGGGATAGCTGTCTGCTGCAAGCTTAGCTCTGTACCTGCACCTCTGCCATGGCAATAAAACCAATGTGCAATCCTGGATGTCTGCATTTTAATGGTGTCAATTCAGAGGGCAGAAAAAGGCACGCATGCACTTCCCAGGAGCAGCTGCCACAACCAGGGCTGTGCCACAGGGCCAGGAGCAGAGACTCTGTGTGCAGAGCAGCTGCAGCTCAGGAGCTGCCTGTGCAGGAGGAGCAGCTCAGCAGATCCTAATGCAATTTGAGGGAATTGATCCCTGTCCCACAGTAACACACATACATGCAATAATACCATTCATATTGATGACTTCTTCCAGCTCTGCTCCCTCCCCCGAGCTCCCACTCTTTGCCAGCAGTCAATAGTTTACATCACTATCATCAGGGGACGTGTTTTCCTACTACAAAGGAGCCACACAGTAATTACTGCATGAATCTCAGCCAGCCTTTTCCCTACAATGCAAACCAGTGAAGCATCTCCTGGCGCAGCTCTGGGGCTCTGCACCTCAGGGCAGCAGCACAGCCAGTCTCAGCCAGCAGGCAGCAGCACGCTGCAGTGTTTGTGCTGCAGTGTTTGCACTGCAGGCTGCACCTGGGCAGCACTTGTGCCTGCCTGCAGTGCCTTTCAGCCTGCATTCCCTGCAGCACAGAGCAGGGCTGGCAGCTCCAATGACCTCCACAGCGCTGTGCCCAAAATATGAAGCTGCAGAAGAGCAGATGTAAAGACCTCGTGCTTCCCAGTATCCATGCAGCCCTTTTGCTTCAAGCCAGGCTCCAGTTCTGCACATACAGGCAGCATTCAGCAGCCAGCACACACAGCTCAGCCCTGCAAAACTGCAGTGGTGGCTGCACACGTGCTGGTGCTCTCAGCACCAACTGGTCACAGGCAGAGCAGGAACCTATGGATGCAGAGAAACCCCATAGCAGCAGGTGAGATGCTGAGCCAAGAGCTCCATTCAGCAAAAATAAAATGAAATAAAATGGTTTATTCTCCTCCAGCACAACTCCCAGACCAGGCTGCAATCTGCAGGACAGGAGCTGCTCTTCTGCTCATACCCAGGGTTTATGGGATGCTGCCCAGGTGTCCTTCTCAGCACAGGGCAGAACAGAGCTTTGCAGAGCTTTCAGGGTGCAGGATGAGTTTGGGAAGAGCTGCAAATTGTTGGGGGTTTCAGTGCAAGAGGTGGGCAGAAAATGTCTGAGATAATAGTCTTAATTCCCATAAATGGGTGATGTTCCTGGGAAAGACTGCTTCTCTGATAGTCTTTAAATACAACTGAGGAGAACAGCCAGTCCCACCTAATACAGGATAATGGGAGCAGTTGCACCCTGCAATCTGAGCCCATTGCCACCCCCAGGTGGGTGCAGCTCTGTGCTGCTGAGTGATGTGTCCAGGTCAGGGCTGATCCCAGGGCAGCCCCGTGACCCCTTCACTGCTCAGAACAAACCCTCTGGCAGAGCTGCAGACCTGCAGCCATATCCCAAACCTGCAGCCATATCCCAGACCTGCAGCCATACCCCAAACCTGCAGCCATATCCCAGACCTGCATCCATATCCCAAACCTGCATCCATATCCCAAACCTGCAGCCATACCCCAAACCTGCAGCCATATCCTAAACCTGCAGCCATATCCCAGACCTGCAGCCATATCCCAAACCTGCAGCCATATCCCAAACCTGCAGCCATATCCCAGACCTGCAGCCATATCCCAAACCTGCAGCCATATCCTAAACCTGCAGCCATATCCCAGACCTGCAGCCATATCCCAGACCTGCAGCCATATCCCAGACCTGCAGCCATACCCCAAACCTGCAATCATACCCCAAACCTACAGCCATATCCCAAACCTGCAGCCATATCCCAAACCTGCAGCCATATCCTAAACCTGCAGCCATATCCCAGACCTGCAGCCATATCCCAGACCTGCAGCCATACCCCAAACCTGCAATCATACCCCAGACCTACAGCCATATCCTAAACCTGCAGCCATATCCCAGACCTGCAGCCATACCCCAAACCTGCAGCCATACCCCAAACCTGCAGCCATACCCCAGACCTGCAGCCATATCCCAAATCTGCAGCCATATCCCAAACCTGCAGCCATATCCTAAACCTGCAGCCATATCCCAGACCTGCAGCCATACCCCAAACCTGCAGCCATACCCCAAACCTGCAGCCATACCCCAGACCTGCAGCCATATCCCAAACCTGCAATCATACCCCAGACCTACAGCCATATCCTAAACCTGCAGCCATATCCTAAACCTGCAGCCATATCCCAAACCTGCAGCCATATCCCAAACCTGCAGCCATACCCTAAACCTGCAGCCATATCCCAAACCTGCAGCCATATCCCAAACCTGCAGCCATACCCCAAACCTGCAGCCATACCCCAAACCTGCTGCTCTCTGACCCCACAGACCTCCTGGAGGATGGAGCTCCGGCCCTGCAGCACTGCAGGAGCAAAGCAGGGGAAATGCAGCTCCGAGCTGCACTGAGAGCAAGGAGGAAACAAACTAAGCAGAGCCCCATAAATTACTGCATTCTGTTCTGCAACATCGGGCAAATTAAATGGTGCAGAGCTCCAAGGCTGTGTGTGCTTTGGCGTGGGTAGAGCTTTTCCAGCTCCACCAGTGCCAAACACCTTTCAGCCCTCCCTTTGACTCCAGGGAGCCCATTTGATGGCTTTTCTCCTACCCTGGGCATCCCCATGCTGGTGCTGCTATGGCACACGGCTGGTGATGCTCCCCGTCCTGAGCCCCTCCAGCACCAATCTTTGCTCCCTGCATCCCCCCTGCCCCGCTCCCCCCATCCCTGCAGCACCAATCCCTGCTCCCCATGTCCTATGGGGCTGTGCCACGGCCCTTACATCAGCCTTTCCCCTAAAAGCCATTTGGGAAAGATGCACCGCTCAGCACTTTTAGAGCAGATTAATATTCAGAGGGAAAAGCAGTGATTTAGTGAGGCCCAAGCACAACAAAGGCTGAGATTTATGGCCTCCTGTATTAGAGCATTACATTCCTAGCAGGCTTTCTGTCTCTGTTATAAATTTGTAACAAAGACGAGTGAGCCTTACACCAGCTTAAAATAATGTAGAACACGGGCTGGAGAACCAAACCTCATGGGGAGGGGAAAGGGAGAGTTATGGGGTGTGGACAGAGGGGTCCTGGGGCTCCTGGATCCATCCCAGCTCTGTGCATCCTCACACTGGGATGCAGGAGGACCGTGGGATGCTCAGGGATGTTCTTCCCGTACCCACAGGTGGGGATTTTGGCACATCCCAGCATCAGTGCGTGGAGTGGGGCTGTGGGATTGCTCTGCACGGTGGCAGTGCTCGGATTGCACACAGGAATGGAGTTATTGCAGCCAGCCCAGGGCAGAAGTGACGTTTTGTTTGGATGAAAGCAAGGCCCAGAAGTGTCTGCTGTGTGAGCTGACAGGGAGTGATGTACAGCTGAGAGCAAGGCTGGGTCTGGCTGCTGGGGGGCTGAGGAAGGGGGGAAAGCATCCCCAGTGCCACCCGTTAAACCTGCATGGAGCTGCACGGAGGTGGAATTACAAACACGGTGTGTCGGTGCCTGGCAGCGAGACAAAGCAGAGCTCAGGCAGAACCTGGGCCGAGGCCAGGAGGTTGTCTGGGGTCCTGTGCAGCCGGAGGGCTTTAAAAGGAGAGAAAAAGGAAAAGGGAGAGAGGACAAAGAGTTGTGAGGGGGGCCCAAAATGCACTGAGGGCTGACGGAGCACCGGCGCTGCTGAGGCTCCCCTTCCCTTGTGGCTGCCATAGGGACAGCAGGCAGCATCTCCCTTTGCAGGGCTGCCTGTGCCCCCCAAGCTCAGCCCAGCAGCACCTTCCCTGCAAAGGCTTCGCGGTGCTGCGTGGAGAAGCCGCTCTGCTTATTATCATATTTAATTGCCCTCCTGCTCACCCCAGGAAATGAGCAGGAGATGGTGAGAGCAGCACTTTCTGATGATGTAAACACGCGCTTGCAGAGCTCCCACAGCCAAACCGCTCCCAGGGAGAGCGCTGATTTATGGCCCCCCCCCCCCTCTTTTCTTCTCCCCCTCCTGCTGCTGTGAGCTTAATCCCAGGCTGCGGATCCGACATAAATCACTTGATTAAAAGCCCTATTTAATTTAGGAGGGGGGGGGGAGAGCGGCTGATCGATTTAATTTACGCATGGAAATAGCAACAAGCAGATGCTTTTAAAAGGGACGATGAGACAGAACTGCGACCCGCAGCCTTGCTGCATTAACCAACACATGGCCACGGATGCGGGCACACTGTCACAGGCCACCAGTCCAGGACTCAGCTCCTTGTGACCCCTTCTGGGGGTACAAGGACAGGGAAAGGGTTAACCTGACCTTAACCCTGATCCTTATCCCCCATCTCCATCGTTGGAGCCCAGCTGGAATCCCGAGGCCTTGGCGAGGACATCGGTGTGCAGCATCCAGCACATCTGCAGGCACCCCCGCATCACGGCCACGTGCTTTGGTAGCAAAGGAGGAGAAAGTTGAGGGTTTCCCTGTTGGAAAATGGGGTGTTTTTATAGGGAGCCAACCCCCAAATGTGGGTGGAAGGGGGAAGGGGGAGAGCAGCTTCTGCCCCCATGCACCCCAAGCATCTCCCAGCACACGGGATGGGCGACGGCGTAAACGCACCGCTTGGTTAAAGTCTTTAATAATTACAAGAATTTGGTTAAAGTCTTTAATAATTACAAGAATTCCAGATTCATTACAGAAGAGTTTACAACAAATAATATTTCTCCATACAAAGGCAAAATAAACTTTTCAAGTAATAGCGCCCTGACTCCGCGCTCCCAGCGTCAGGGACTGGAGGTGGGGGGGGAAGGGATGGGGATGGGGGGACGAAGGGATGGGGGGGGACAAAGGGATGGGGGGGGACGAAGGGATGGGGACACAGCAGCCCCCATGGCCCTTCCTCCCCATGGGGAAGGCCAGGTAAGGCACAGCCCGGGGGGTTCAGAGCTCCAGTGCCCAGCTTTGAAGCTGAACCCGGCCCCACTGCAGCCCCCCGGGGGGGGGGGAGGGAAAGGCCATTGGCACCTTGGCCGTGTGCTCCCGAAAGGCATCGACAACGTTATTTAGTATGGTTTTAATACAACCCCATATAAAACTGAAGCAGCAGCAGCAGCAATTCCTTATCGAGGGATCTAAAACTGAAAGAGGGTGGGGGGGACATAATTTAAAAAAATAAAAAACAGCAAATGTAGCAAAATATATGGATTTTTTTTTGTTTGTTTCTTTCTATTTTTTTTCCTTTTTTTCTTTTTTTTTCTTTTTTTTTTTAATATATATATATATATATATATAGAGCAACTGATATCTACCAGCCACTAGTACCTTCCTACCAAACTGGTATAGCTCTGGTAACAACCTTTTTAAAAAGACATGTAAATATATATTCATATTTATACATATTTTAGCTATGTACACGGGACTTCTGTTGTCAGCACTGATGCACGGTTCGCTGCGCAGCCCCACAGATGTGGGTTTGGGCAGCGCTGGGATGCTCACACAGTGCATCAGCCCCATAGGGACACACTGAGGCACCGCCACGTGGAGATGTCCAAGCACAGTGGGAAAGGTTTAAATGGATGATGAAAACAAAGAGAGGCAACCAAACAGGCAAACAGCGAAATGAAACCTTTGGGCAGAGCTCCCTGCCGAGGTGCTGGGTGGGCACAGCTGCGTGCGGAGCCTCAGTGCCGCTTTAGCACCCCTTGGCTGTGCGGGGGGCAGCGTGGCAGGCAGGGCTCATCGGGCAGTGGGTCGTGGGAGAACACTGAGTCCTCCCCAGAAGAGCAGGTGGAGCTGCGTGTGGCTGGGAAGCCGGGTGAGTATTGATCCAAAGGCACCGACAGGTCCAGGTATTCCTGCAAGGGATGGGTTCATGGGAGGGGGGGAGCTCTGCGAGGGGCATGGAGGGACGTGGAGGGCTCTCCTACCTGGTTGGATGTCATGGCCACGATCCTGTCCAGGTCTTCCACCAGCTGTTTGAAAGTGGGGCGCTGGGAGGGCACGGCGTGCCAGCAGTCACGCATCATCATGTACCTGTATGGGGTGGGGGGAGCTGAGCGCATCTGTGGGTGCACAGCTCTGCCTCTGGCAATGAGCAGTGTGTGGGGCTCAGCACCCTGAGGAAGGATGTGGGGCAGGGAGTGGGGCTCAGCCTCTTGAGGAAAGGACATGGGGCAGGGAATGGGGCTCAGCCCCCTGAGGAAGGATGTGGGGCAGGGAGTGGGGCTCAGCCTCTTGAGGAAAGGACATGGGGCAGGACACGGGGCTGCTGTGTGAGGGCATAACCCCGGGGTCATTTTGGGATTCACTCCTGCAGAGCAATAGCAAAGGAAGCCCTGATGTCATTGCAAACAGATTTAGCTGACGTTTTGCAGGTAAGGGGACACTGCAAAAGTAATTCTGAGCATCTGCCTTCCCCAGCGTGCAGCTGCCTGCACCCAGCACAGAGCTCAGCACGGATGGCACTGCAGGCACGGTGCCCACGTTCCCACTGCCCCCCCAGCACTCACAGCTCGTTGGTGCAGTTGCTGGGCTTGTCCATCCTGTGGCCCTCCTTCAGCAGCTTGAAAAGCTCCTCCACAGGCACACCAGGGTACGGCGAACCGCCCAGAGTGAAGATCTCCCAAAGCAGCACGCCGAAGGACCAACTGCAGGCAGACACGTGGGCACAAACCGTGAGCCACCACGGGCATCACAGAGAGCTCCGGGTGCACAGGTAGAGCTTTGCACAGCTACACCAGGAGTGCCTGGCAGTGCCTGGCATACTCACACATCACTCTGATGAGTGTATATTCGGTCGAACAGAGCCTCCGGGGCCATCCACTTCACTGGCAAGCGGCCCTGTGACAAGAGAACCCCATCAGCTCAGTGCTGCCCATGGGGATGGCCAAAGGTCGCTTGGCACAGCGGGTTCCAAACGCTCACGTTTGTCGTCTTCTTGTAGTAATCGATGTGGTGGATGTCACGGGCCAGCCCGAAGTCAGCGATCTTCATCACGTTGTCTTCTGTCACCAGCACATTCCTGGCTGCCAGGTCCCTGTGGATGCACTGTGCAGAGAACAGGGCTGTCAAACGGTGCCCGGAGCCCCATGGCCCCATTCCTAAGCACCCAACCGTGATGGAGCTCACACCTTTTTGGAGGCCAGGTACTCCATGCCACGCGCCACCTGGTACGCACAGGACACCAGGTCCTTGAAGGAGAGCTGCTCCTCGGGGACACGAGTGGGGTTGTAGCAGTACTCCATACCCGGCGGGCGCCGTGCCTGCAGGTACTCACGCAGGTTGCCTTTGCTGGCATATTCCACGATGACATAGAGGGGCCCTGAGGGAGAACGGGGCTGAGCCACGTGCCTGGACCCCACCGTCAGCACAGTGCTGGCAGCCCCTCCTCGCCCGCTCACCGTCCTGCGTGCAGGCCCCCAGCAGGTTGATGATGTTCTTGTGCTTGCCGATCATCTTCATCATCTCCATCTCGGAGATGAGGTCAGACAGGTCCTTCTCTGTGGCGTCGGCTGTGGCAGCAAAGGCAGCAGTCAGGGAGGCTGGCCTGCATCCCCCCACACCGTGCACACGTGGGTGCCGCACACAGACCCACTCCCATCGCCTCTTACACTTGAGCATCTTCACGGCCACTTTGGTGACACGGTTTGGCTTGTCCTTGTCCAGGCCGATGGCCTCGGCCAGCACCACCTGCCCAAAGCAGCCTTCTCCCAGCGGCTTGCCCAGGATCAGCCTGGTGGGACAACAGACATAATGCCATGCTGGGACAGCAGGACGGCCACTACACTCAGTGCCATCCCCTTGCCCCATCCCCATCCCATCCCATCCCATCTCACCCCACCTCAAACCATCCCATCCCATTCCACCCCACCCCATCCCATCCCATCTCACCCCACCTCAAACCTTCCCATCCCCATCCCCATCCCCATCCCCATCCCCATCCCCATCCCATCCCATCCCCATCCCATCTCACCCCACCTCAAACCTTCCCATCCCCATCCCATCCCATCCCAACTCACCTCAACCCACCCCATCCCATCCCATCCCATCCCCATCCCATCCCATCCCACCCCACCCCATCCCATCCCCATCCCACCCCACCCCATCCCACCCCACCCCACCCCACCCCATCCCAATCCCCATCCCATCTCACCCATCTCACCCCACCTCAAACCTTCCCATCCCATCCCATCCCATCCCCATCCCCATCCCCACCCCCATCCCACCCACCCCATCCCATCCCACCCCATCCTCACCTGTCCCGTGGCAGTTCCCAGCGCGGGTCCTCGGGCAGCTCATACTCAGAGACACCAGCCAGCATGGGGGTTCCACTGGAGGAGAGCCGTGAGGGCCTCACCAACATCACACCCGAGTTCATGGAGGAGCTGGAGTCAGCCGACACCTGCAGCAGGGCTGTGGGTTACCTTCACGCAGCGCTGGGGCCACGGCCGCCCATTCCCAGTGGGGAGACAACAACCGGGACCCCCCCCAACTCCTGAACACTCCCTGCTGCTCAACATTGGAGCACGCCTGTATCGTTTGCAATTGATTTCCTGCTTGCTGGTACTACAAAACGCACAGCCTGGGGATCCTCGGTGCTCAGCACGCGCTCTTCATCTCAATATTAAATGGTCACAAATCCTCCTGGTTACTCTCATTGCCACGGGGCCACGCACACAGCATGGCGAGGGACAGCCATGGTGCACCATCCATCCCAACCCAGGGAAAGGGCAATTCTTTGAGGAGGGGCAGTAGGAGCCAAGAAACCCCCTCTCTACTTTCTGTTACCTGTCTGCGCAGTGGGATGCTCTTGGCCAGCTTGTGCACGGCCAGCTGGCTGTTGAAGTCTGTCTTCTTGGTGGTGCTCTTCATCTTATAGATGATGACTGTCACCACCATGCAGGAGATGAGGAAGGCGCCGGTGCAATAAATGATGATCTCCAGGTAGAGGGGGGACGTCATCATGGCTGGTGAGTCCTCAATAGCTGGGTTGGCACAGAAAAGGCATCAGTGGGAGCAAAGAGTGAGGCTGGGCAGAGCCTGGCTCCTCTCAGCAGAGGTGAGGGTTGGTGTGGGATGCTCCCACGTGCAGCAGGGAGTGGTCAGGCTGCTGGGATGCTGCACTGCACCCATGGGGTGGGCGCTGCACCCTCACCCTTGGGATAAGCATCGTACCCATGCCCTTGGGATGCACGCTGCACCTGCAGCTGCCTGGGGCAGGAAAGCAGGGTGTGAAGCAGAGGTCCGTGCCCATCCCCACTCTGTGTGGGACGGCACCATGCAGTCTGCATGGGGACTACATGGGGATTCTCCCCTTCCTGTGGGGCTGAGCTCTGCCCACGCTGAGCTGCACACCCATTGGGATCTGTGGTTACGGTGGGCTGGAAGGCACGGCTGGGTGCTGGGAGAGGGAGCCGAGCAGCCAGAAGCACCTGCAGCAGCAGCAGTGATGTATTGCAGGATGGGAGAGGAGATCCCATCCCTGAGCACCACAACACAGCCCCACTTTGTGACTTAGGGGGGTGGCGGAGCTATGAACGGCGCAGCCACAAACCTGGGAGCTGCCATCACCCCCAGCAGCCCAAACCTGACCCCCCTCCCCCAAGAGAACAGAGCCCTCAGAGAGAGGCAGAAGAGCCAAAACCTTGCGTGTTCCCAGCAGCACCACCCAAGCAGCGGCTGATAACAGGGCAAAGCTTTTGGCAGAAGAGCGGCGCCCACGCAGCGCCCCAAAAACTTTCCCTGCCTGCTGTATCAGGCGTGGATCCGCGCAGCAACGATGGGCCCAGCAGCCCATCGACACCCAAAGCAAAGCGACAGCCCCCAGCAATGCATCCGACACACGTGGAAACAAGGGAGGAGAAGGGACAGGAAGAGGAGTATATACCTTCGAGAACTGTCAACCATGCAGAGTGATGGGAGATCCCAATAGAATTACCCGCCAAACATGTATACTCCCCAGCATCCTCAAATGAGACATTCCTTAAGTGAAGGACTTCCATCTCTTTGTCTGTCGTGTTAACGCCAGCCGTCTAGAGGGGGAGAGTGGAAGCAAAAAACGGAGAAGCAAACGACATGAGATCTTCTGGGGGGGAAGAGGCAGAGAGGAGGGAGCAGCCTGATTTGGCAGAGCCCCGGGAGCAGGCAAGAAACCGTGGAGACCCCTGGCAGAGACCCTCCGGATGACCCCTCATCCGGGCGGACCTAAAGAGACGCCACTAAAAACCCTTCACCAACGGTTCTGCCCATCGGAGCATGCTGGCAATGGGCCACATGGAAAAATAGAGCTCGGGGAGGGCCGGCTGGGCATCGAGGGAGGTGGGAGCACGAGGACGGAGACACAGGGACAGCACAGAGCAGGGAGCACAAGGGGGGGGGGGGGACAGGACCCGGCACGCAGCCCCGCCGGCCCCACGGGGTATTTTTCCATGGCTTTTTGCACCAGAAGTACAGCAGAAACGAGAGAGCCCAGAGTTGTGTTTTCAACCGCTGGGGACTGGAGGTCCCAAAGCGTCCCACTGGGCGTCCTTCCGATTACCTTTTGCCAGAGGTCTGGTGACAGTGAGCCACGCAGACTGGTTGGCCTCGCCAATATAATTGGAAACCTTACAAACATACTCCCCGCTCTCCGCCTCTGTCACATTATACAGGGTCAGCACCTCCGCATCAGAGCTATTAATTCCCGAGTGCTGGAACAGACCAACAACAGAGGAGTCACATCGATGGGGTCAGAAACCACAGCGCCCGGAGCGATGGTGCCAGCACAGGGCTGGGGGCCATGGGGGGTTGTGGCGAGCCGGGAGGCAAGGGATCATAAACCTGCTGCAGTGCATCAGGGGTGTGGGTAAGGACAGCCGTGCACCTTGGGGTGGGGATGGCCATGCACCCTATGGCTGGGAGTGGCCATGTGCCCTATGGCTGGGGGTGGCCATACGCCCTGTGGCTGGGGGTGGCCATGTGCCCTATGGCTGGGGGTGGCCATGTGCCCTATGGCTGGGGATGGCCATGTGCCCTATGG